CTGGGTCCCTCCAGTCACTCAAACATGCTGGAACCGCGGCCCCTCCCCCCAAGTTCACTTCTGGTGGTGCTGTCCCATCTGCCTCCACCTGATTTTTCTGCTCTTCTCCAGGGGAGCAATTGGAGGCAGCTGATAGCTGCTCCTCTTCCCCCTAGTTAGATCCAGCAGTCCTGGGTGTCCCGGTAGCTGACACGTTTCCTCCCCAGGCCATCAATACATTCTCCATTTATGAGGACTGGTGGGGGCAGCTATGGCCTAAGGACCAGACCCACCATGGCTGGTGTCATGGCCAGAGCAAACTCCAAAAAAAAAAAAAAAAAAAAAAAAGAAAAGAAAAAACAACCCAGAGACAGGTTCAGCACAGAGATTAGCACACCCCTTAAATATCTGCATCCCAAATAGAAATACCTGGGTTCAAGTGCAGGGTCTACTCCCCATTCCAGGGCTAATGCAAACCCTGGGAGGTAGGAATGATGGCTCAAGTAGTTGGGTCCCTGCCACCTATGTGGGAAATTTTGGGGAGTGAACCAGTAGATGGGAGATCTCTCTCTTTCTCTGCCTTTTAAATAAATAAAAAGCAAAAAAGAACACAAGGCTGCCAAGACCTTGTTAAACAAAAACTTATGAGAGGCCATTGTTTTGGACTATGCTCGGGCACTAGGCCCCAACAAACCAGACCAAACCAGAATGGAGTCACTGTGCTAAGGACCAGGATCCGGTAATCAGACTGAACTTTGAAACAGGCCAGTTTTACACACATACACCAGAGATTCACAGCAGCTCATAAGAAGGGGCCCCATTTACTTGGGCCAGCATGGTAGGGGAGCCCCTCTATCGTAACCTCAGAAAAGGGCCTTTGGAATGATCAGCCCACTTTTTGTTCCTTATTTCTGAGCTCTTCATCCCCATTCAGCACATAAAGCCAGCCCCTTCTGCTCAGCTCATGGGAGGACCTTTCCTATATTGTTAGATGCTACCCGATCCACAGACAGCTAATAAAGTCACTTGTATCTTTAATTTATTTTTAAAAAATATTTGAAAGTCAGAATTCGGGGTGGGGGAGAGACAGAGGGAGAGGGATATCTTCCGTCTGCTGGCTCACTCCCCAGATGGTCATAATGGCCATCTCTGTGCCAGGAAGAAGCCAGGAGCCTCATCTGGATCTCCCACATGGGTGTCAGGGGCCCAAGCACTTGGGCCATCCACTGCTGCTTTCCCAAGCACATTAGCAAGAAGCTGGGTTGGAAGTGGAGCAGCTGGGACATGAACTGTCATTACAGATGGCGGCTTTGCCTGCTAGGCCACAACACCAACCCCAAAAGTCACTTCAATCATTAAATTTGTTATGATTTTTTTTGCACCCTTGAGAGATTGTTTGGAGGTTCTAGCTCAGCCACTTGTACTCTTATAACCTTGGCCAACGGTGGGAAGTGGAGACAGACCAGAGCCCTGTGGCAGGAGGGAAGGGCTAGGCTGAGATCACGGCTGCTCGTCTCTGGGTTTCCTCAAGGCGGGAGGTGTGTGGTGAGGGGTGGGTCGCAGGCCTTCTTGGCGGGTACCTCTTCCCTCCTGGGCAAAGGTGGTGTTCTCCCTAACCACATCATTTGCATATAGCCTGCTTGACGCAGGTCCCGGCACGACCCGAGCTAACCCCTGGGTCTCAGGGCAGGAACCTCGCTTTACCCCAGAATCCGCCCTCCAGCCTTGCTTCTGGCTGTCCTTGTCACTTTCACCACGTGCCTGGCACTGGGAAGATGTGGAGGCCTTTGGCATGCAGCAGGGCACAGACCATACCTGCTGTGTGCCCTCTGCACTGAGGAATGCGAGCCAGGCATGGTGGGTCCCAGGAAGACAGACCCAGCCCAGGAGCTGTGGGGTCTTGTAGCCTTAGAGCCTGATTGGCCCCAGCTGAGAGCTGAAAGTCAGTGGACCCCCCACTTAGGCACAGCAGGTGTGGGATCACATGTTCACTGGAGCCCCTGTGCCTGCTCCCAACCTCCAGGGAACCCAGCTTGTTGTAGTTCCAGGGTCAGGTACACTCCTCTCCCACAGCTGCAAATCGCACGACCTCCAGGCCTCTCCCCATCTTTGTCCACATAGTCCCAGTGCTGCACTCAACAGGGCACCCTGAATCCCTCCCAATCCCTTAGATTCAGGGTGCCCCCTGGCAACAGTCCATCCCCTCATGCCACATATGGGTAAGGGGGAGCCAGCTGCCATCGCCTGTCCAGGGGCGCTGTCCAGCCTGTGGTGCTGAAGCACTTGGGACCCAGCTGGCTTGCAGCAGCCACTCCAGTCTCCGAGCACCCCAGGCTGGGTCTTCACGGGGCTAATAGTTCCCAGGGATGTTTGCCTGCCCTAGCAGGCTTGAACTGGGATTGCTTCAGAGGTTGGAGCTTCCCTGAGGCGGCACAGGGAGAGCCAATGCTGTCCAGAGAGCAGGCAGTGGGAAGAATGAGCAGAATTTGATACCTGTATTCCATCCTGGAACCCTTAGGCACTTGTGGGTCTGGAGAGCTGAACGTGGGCTCCATGCCCCTCCTGCCAGTTGTGCCACTACACTAAGCTCCAGGAACATTGTCTCACCTTCCAGGAACTCAGTTCTTCCCACAGAAATCCAAACCTAGCAGGCTTTGCTATTTATGGGGATAAGGGAGACAATTCCTAGAATCCCAGAGAATGATATCCTAGGGGCAAGCGTTGGGCAAAGCCTTCTTTGTCCTGCTTGGGACACCTGTATCCCATATCAGAATGCCTGGGTTGGAGTCCTGGCTCCCCTGCTTCTAATCCAGCCTCTTGCTAATGTGCCTGGGAGGCTCAAGGTCTTGGGTCCCTGCTGCCCGTGTGGGAGACCCAGATTCAGTCCCTGGCTCTTGGTTTCCACTTGGCGCAGCCCTGGCCTGTTGTAAACATCTGAGAACTGAACCAGTTGATGAAGGATCTCACTCTGCCTAAAAATGAATAAAATTAATTAAAATAAAGTTATGCCATGGGGCCAGCACTGTGGCGTAGTGAGTAAAGCCACCGCCTGCAGTGCCAGCATCCCATATGGACACTGATTTGAGTCCTGGCTGTTCCACTTCCGATCCAGCTCTCTGTTATGACGTGGAAAAGCAGTAGAAGATGGCCCAAGTCTTTGGGCCTCTGCGCCTGTGTGGGTGATCTAGAAGAAGGTCCTGGTCCCTGGCTTCGGATTGGTACAGCTCTGGCTGTTGTGGCCAGTTGGGGAGTGAACCAGTGGGTGGAAGACATCTTTCTCTCTTTCTCTCTCTCTGCCTCTCCTCCTTTCTCTGTGTAACTGTGATTTGCAAATAAATCTTTTTTAAAAAATAAAATAAGATAAAGCTATTCCAAGGCCATGCTTGCATATGGAGAGGCCTCGAAACCAAACACCAGATCCCTCAGACGCCCCCTCATTCTCTCCCAGACCCGACCCCAGAGCAGGGGGAAGCTCTCTGGGAAGGACTCTTATCTGTTTAAATTCCGGCCCTGCCAGTCACCACTGGTCCCTTCCCGAGCTTTCTTTAACTACACTCATTCTGTCAGAAGAAAAACTCAAGTGTTAATACACCTGTACAGACTTCTGTCACATACCATTGTCCTCTGTTTTGTTACCAAATAGAATCACTCACAAACCACTGTTGATTCTGCAGGCTGGACAGACTTTGTTCCAGGCCATTGTACATTCTCCAGACCTATTGAGGCTCCTTAAAAATCATTTACAACCTGTCTACACTTACATCTGTCTGCATTCCCCATTCTCTCCTTCCCCCGGGACAAAGGCATACACACATTTCTGAATCATTTTAGGCTAGTGCAATATTGCACGCCTGTGATTTTTTTCCTCATGCTGTGATATTTCCCCTTTTGCACATTAAATAAATTTTCTTAGTTTTCTCTTATTTAATCTTCATCAGTTTATCCCAGCAAGACTTAGGAGGGTGAAGGGACATTTTCCCTTTGCCCCTGCACCTCCTATTCAGATGCCATGTCTTCCCTCCTGACTGGGTACCCCTGCCCCCAGTTACCACAGATGCTCACAACCCAATTCCTCACCACCAAGTCCAAGATGGAAGGGAAGATCAGGTGTTCCCAGCACAGGGCTACAACTTGAACCTGCCCTGGAAAGAGTTAATGACACAGTTTTCCAGAAAATTGAGCATCACTCTGGTGGCAGTAATGTTGGCAGCATAACGAAGGTGGATATAGCTCCTGGGGCAGAGGCCTGTCCAGAAAGCAGGGGCCAGCAGGACACCAGAAGTAGCAGATAGATGGCACACTGGTACCCAGGACCACAACCTGAGTCACGGGTGCCTCCTGAGGGTCAGCCAGGGCTCGGAGAGAGATGAGGTAATGGTCAAGAGAGAAGGGTTTAGACAGGATGCTCCAGAGATGCTAAGCCTGAGGCCACCACTCATTGTTGCATACAAATGCCATGTCTTGATCTCGGGCGATGCAGTCAGGGACTGCCGAACAGCACCTCAGCCCTAGGCAGCTCCAAATGCATTCTGGCTAGACCTGGAGTGCAGGGTCCTGGGAGACTGTGCAGCAAGGCGGGCTGAGCTCATACCGCAGCGACATGCTGGCAATGGCTTCAGGGTTGTTGAGCTTTCCCAAAAAGGTGATTCTTTTTTTTTTAAAGATTTTATTTATTTATTTGAGAGGTAGAGTTACAGACAGTGAGAGAGAGAGAAACGAGAGAAAGGTCTTCCTTTTTCCATTGGTTCACCCCCCAAATGGCCACCACGGCTGGAACTACACCATTCCGAAGCCAGGAGCCAGGTGCTTCCTCCTGGTCTCCCATGCGGGTGCAGGCGCCCAACCACTTGGGCCATCCTCCACTGCCCTCCAGGGCCACAGCAGAGAGCTGGACTGGAAGAGGAGCAGCCGGGACTAGAACCTGGTGCCCATATGGATGCCGGTGCCACAGGCGGAGGATTAGCCAAGTGAGCCACGATGCCGGCCCCATTTCTTAAAACAGTTGTGCTGCATACTGAATTGTGTGCTTGATGCTTTATCCAGGGTGCCTGCTGTGCTCCACGGATGCATGTCTCAGACAGGTGACTGCTCGGCCCACGTGTGGAACAGGAGCAGACAGTCAGCTGTGGGGTAGGAAGGGCTAAACCCTTCTAAGGACCCCACACTGTGGGCCCCATGGCCATGGATTAATAAAAAGTCTCACCTGTAGCATCATAGTCACCCTGAGAGACAGACAAAGCCAATGTCAGCCTTCCTCAAGGGAAGATGGGCAGAGTGGGCATGGCACAGTCAACAAAGCCCATGAGAAAGGCCAGTGACCAACTCCAGGTGCTCAGTACCCTGCAACGTCCTCCTCCTGTCCCTGCCCACCACCCCTTCCACACAGGTACAGACTCCACCCCTAGGACAGATGCAATCCGCTATGGCTGCCATGGGAGTCACAAGCAGCCATTGCAGGCTCTTAGCAACGTGCTCCTTCTGGAGGGATGGGAGGGGACTCCCATGACCCGACAACCACCGTGTGACCCTGTGGCTGGTGAGGGCATGAACAGCGTTCAGGGATGGAAGCAGGCTGCTGGGCATGCCCTGGGAAAGGAAAGTGCAGGTGTCATTGGGATTTGGCTACCTCCTGCACCTGCCGGCCCTCAGCCATGAGCCTCCGCATGCTGCCTCAGCCTCTCATTGGAGTAGCTGATCCAAGGCTGTCACAAACTGTTGCTAGGAAACAGCATGAATCTGAACATGCCCAGCAGGCCTTGTAGAAGGAGAGAAACCCAGGAACCACTGCAGGGGCCGGTGGGAGTGGGCTTCCCTAAAGATAGAGGTGACAAGGCTCCGGCCAAACGGAATGACAGGGTGTCCACGTGGCAGAGCTGGGGAGCAGCACGCCGGGCGGTGTGCAGAGCAGTGCACGCCAGAGTGGCGCCCGTCACCCTCTGTGCTCCCTTGGTGAGCTTAAGACAGGGAGAAAGTCCCCAGGAAGGATGAGGGGCTGCGTGGGGCACTAAGTTCTACTCTCACACCTGTGTTTTCTTGTCCTGTCTCTCTCGGGAGGTGCCTCTTCTGCCAGGACTTCTGAGCAGCTTTTTTTAAAGATTCACTCCTAGACATGAAAAACGATCATTCAAATCTTCATGAATCCTTGTAATGAGAGACTTCAATAGATGGGGGAAGGGTGGGAAGAACTTGGAAGACATAACATTAAAGCAAGGTGAAGACTCCATTTAGAAAATGGGAATTAGTGTTCTCTGTAATAAAAGGACCACACTCACAAGTCGAGAATAAGATGAGGAGCCAGCACTGTGGTGCAGCGTGCAAAGCTGTTGCCTACAGTGCCAGCATCCAGTATGGGCGCTGGTTCAAGTCCCGGCTGCTCTACTTCTGATCTAGCACTCTGCTATGGCCTAGGAAAAGCAGTAGAAGATGGCCCAAGTGTATAGGCTCCTGAATCTGGGTGGGAGACTCAGAAGAAGCTCCTGGCTCCTGGCTTTGGATTAGCCCAATTCCTGCTGTTGCGGCCATTTGGGGAGTGAATCAGTGGATGGAAGACCTCTCTCTCTACCTCTACCTCTGCCTCTCTGTAACTCTGCCTTTCAAATAAATAAATACAAATCTTTTTTAAAAATGAGTGAAGAAAAGAACTGTTCAGAGAAAAATAAATAATTTAAGCTTTGTAATAGAAACACAAGAAGACTGGAGGATTGAAATAAATCTCCCCAGAAATTGGGGAGAGGAAAGAGATCTGAAGATTAGGTGAAAAAATATCAGAGCATACTGTGGGGAGCAATCCGGACTGGACTGGGTTACTGAAATTAAGACTTATTCTATGCATCTGCTCTCCCACAACATGGCGTTGGGAGAGAAGTAAACAGCTTCCGCACAGCTGCCTCCAGTTCAACTAATAAACTGTAGGACTTGCTCCTGATTGGAGAGCAGCGTACACGGCGTGTGGGCAGCCGAGTTGGGATTGGCGGAGGAGGACTATAAAGGAGGAGAGAGACGGCATGCACCAGGAACATCTATGGGGAACATCTAAGGGAACCCGTGCAGCCCCCGAGAAAGCCGGCCGGCGGTGTGCCGCTCCCCTGCGGAAGTGGGGAATGTGGCCAGGGGGAACTGCCCTTCCACGGAGGTGGAACGGACAGTAGCCAACCCGGGAAGAACCAGCAGCAAACCCGGGGAGGGCCGAGCAGATGAAAGAACAGCGCAGGGTCCTGTGTTGCTCCTCCACGAAGAGGGGGAGCAACATAATGGTGCCGTGACTCGGATATGAAGCCTAGGCAGGGCTTAGTGTCGTTCCTCCACGAAGAGGGGGAGCGACATAATGGTGCCGTGACTCGGATATGAAGCCTAGGCAGGGTTTAGTGTCGTTCCTCCATGAAGAGGGGGAGCGACACATACGTTTAGCCTAGCAGTTAAGAAAACTGCGTCCCACACTGGGGCACCGGAGTCCATTTCCTGGCTGTTACTCCTGACTCCAGCTTCCTGCCGGGGCAGACGTAAGAGGCAGCAGTGACGACTCAAGTAACTGATTTCTTGCTGTTCACATGAGACACTTGGATTGAGTTCCTGGCTTCCACCCTAGCCATTGTGGGCATTTGGGGAGTGAGCCAGCAGGCAGGAACTCACTCTGTCCTTCATATGAATAAATACATGATTTTTAAAAATTGCTGACTCTTGGGGCATTGTGGAGTAGAGGGTTAAGCTGCTACCTGCAGTGCTGGCATCCCCTATGGGTGCTGGTTCAAGTCTCGGCTGCTCCATTTCCAATTCAGCTCCCTGTAAATGCAGCCGGGAAAGCAGTGGAAGATGGCCCAAGTCCTTGGGACCCTGCACTCACATGGGAGACCTGGAAGAAGCTCCTGACTCCTGGCTTTGGATTGGCCCAGCTCTGGCCATTGCAGCCATTTGGGGAGTGAATCAGTAGATGAAGACCTTTCTCTTTGTCTCTCCCTCTGTCTGTCTATAACTCTCTTTCTCAAGTGAATAAATAAAATCTTAGAAAGAAAAGACCCTAAGAGGTGATCCCAATAGATATTTAAAGAAATACTGACTCCTGCTATATATAGTTCTTCCAAACAGTAAAAGAAGAAAGGTGAGAAAATTGATTTAGTAACTCTGTATGAGTAGTTCTAAGAAGAGAAAACAGTGAGGGAGGAAATTAACAGAAGTGTATTTATTTGGATCCATGGAGTGGAAGAGCACTGAGCTTCCAGGTTGAAGGGACCACGGATGAAAAGGCACACACAGTGCAGCACTCTTCACTAAGCATGAAGAGAAAATCCTAAAAATTCACCCACCAGGGATGAGAAACAGCTACAACACTAGAAGGAGCCACAGGAAAACATCAAACTGTCTCCACAAAGAATTACAAATCCAGTGTAAATGTGGATCAAATGTGAGGGTAGAAAAAGCCATCATTAGATATTCAAAGTCTCAACATTTTACCTTCCATGTACCAGGAAATTTTTTTCTTTTTCCTTAAGATTTATGTATTTGAATGTCAAAGTTAGAGAGAGAGAAACACACACACACACACACACACACACAGAGAGAGAGAGAGAGAGAGAGAGAGAGAGAGGCAGGCAGGGAGGGAGGGAGGGAGGGAGAGGTGTCTTCCATCTGCTTGTTCACTCCCCACATGGCTGGAATGGCCAGGGCTGGGCCAGGTTTAAGCTCCGAGTCAGGAGCTTCATTCGGGTCTCTCACATGGGTGCAGGGGCCCAAACACTTGGGCAACCCTCTGCTGCTTCCCCAGGTGCATTAGTGGGGGGCTAGTTTGGAAGTGGAGCAGCCAGGACACAAACCAGCCCCCACACGTGAGGCCAGTGTTGCAGGTGGTAGCTTTACCTGCTGTGCCACAGCACCCACCCTACTTCTGGAGAATGTTTCCCGTAAACACAGGGGATAAATGGTACCCAGGAAAACAGAGTGTCATGGGTGGAGGGGTACCTGAGCATCACCAGACGAGGGGGCAAAGACTCTTTTGGGGACAGTCCCATTGTACCACCACGGGGCAGCCAGTCCCAAGAGGAGCAGGAGACCTCAGAGAATAGAGATGTGAGAGACCCAATGTGTTTGCTGGTTACCCGTGGGTGGTCAGGCTGGGAAAGACATACACAAGCACTCGTATGGTCAGTTGAGTTAAGAATGGTATCTATTCATCTTCAATTTATTTGAAAGGCAGAGAAACAGAGAGAGAGGGAGATCTTGTTATCTGCTGACTCACTTCCTAAATGCTTTCAACCGCTAAGGCTGCGCTCACTCGGCTGAAAACAAAACTGGGAACTCAATCCAGGTCTCCCAGGTGGGTGGCAGGGACCCAAGTACTTGAGCCATTGCTTGCCGCCTCCCAGGGCTTTTTTTTTTTTTTTTTTTTTGACAGGCAGAGTGGACAGTGAGAGACAGACAGAGAGAAAGGTCTTCCTTTTGCCGTTGGTTGGTTCACCCTCCAATGGCCGCCGCTGCCGGCCCGCTGCGGCTGGTGCACCGCACTGATCCAATGGCAGGAGCCAGGTACTTCTCCTGGTCTCCCATGGGGTGCAGGGCCCAAGCACCTGGGCCATCCTCCATTGCACTCCCTGGCCACAGCAGAGAGCTGGCCTGGAAGAGGGGCAACCGGGACAGAATCTGGCGCCCCGACCGGGACTAGAACCCGGGGTGTGGGCACCGCAAGGCGGAGGATTAGCCTAGTGAGCCATGGCGCTGGCCCCAGGACATCTTTTATAGCAGGCGGGGATGGAAGTGGAGGAGCCATGACCCAACAAGGGATGCAGGCATCCCAAACAGTATCTTAGTCATGGTGCCGAAAGCCCACCCCTAGTCAACTGTTTTTTAATAAACGTGTCAGGAAATTCAAGGAGAGAGGGGTTGGCACTATGACGCAGCAGGTAAAGCCACAGCCTGCAATGCCAGCATCCCCTGTGGGCGCCAGTCCTGGCTGCTCCACTTTCAATCCAGCTCCCTGCTAATGTGCCTGGGAAATAGTGGAAAATGGCCCAAGTCCTTGGGTCCCTGTACCCACGTGGGAGAATTGGAAGAAGCTCCCGGCTCCTGGCTTCAGCCTGGCACAGCCCTGGCCATTGCAGTAATTTGGGAGGTGAACCAGCGGATGGAAGATACCTGTCTGTCTCTCTCTCTCTGGCTTTGACATAAATAAATAAATTTGTTAAGCAAAATGCTGACTCTTGCTACATATAGTTCTTCCAAAAAGTAAAAGAAGAAAGATAAGAAAATTGGTTTAGTGACTTGGTATTAGTAGAAGTTCTAAGAAGAGAAAACAGTGAGGGAGGAAATGAACAGAAATACGAACTCAAAATATATCATGAACCTAAATATAAGAAATAAACTATAAAATTCTAGAAGAAAACAGGAGTGACAATGAACTTGTGAAGCATTTCTCAGCTACGACACAAAATGTGTGGACTATGAAAGAAACTAAGCAAATGAAAAATAATTTAACTATGAACTAGAGGAATAAGAAAATATTTTACAAAACAGGAAATCTAGTCCCCTTGCACTATAAGGCTATCCTGTGAATATACCACATAGTGGTCAAAACAGCAGAGAGAGTAGATATTAACCTAATCAGAAATTGCAAAAAAATTGTGTCAAAAGGATAACTGAAGGAAGTGACAACTAAAATCTCCAGAAACTAGGAAGTGACTAGATAATCTCTACGGTTTTAAACCCAGTAAGTGACAACGGAAGCAGAGGATCTAAACACATGGACGTAAACACTCCATAAACAGCAGGGAGATCTGAAAGCAGCAGCCCCCGGAGGGACGGAGCAGGTGGGGCACTTGGGACAGCGATGCGGTTTTGCGGTAAGCCTCAGAATGCTGCTTCTTTTCACCTGTTGACTGCATTGTTTGGATAGAAATAAATTCTATTTAAAAACCACACATGGAGGGGGCTGGCACTGTGGTGTAGTGGGCTAAGCCTCCACCGGCGGTGCTGGCATCCCATATGGGCACCAGTTCTAGTCCCAGCTTCTCCTCTTCCGATCCAGCTCTCTGCTAATGGCCTGGGAAAGCAGTGGAAGATGGCCCAAGTGCTTATGCTCCTGCACCTGTGTGGGAGACCTGAAAAAAGCTCTTAGCT